GGGAAACTGGATGCGCTTGTAGAAAACGAGATATTGTTCTTCTGCTAAAGGTTCAAACAGTATTCTATGTATGAAAACACTTTTGCCTGAAAAGTCTCCAACTGAAATCTGAGCGTGGGTGACATTCTTATCCAGTTGTTTGCATATCAGCCTTGTTCCATTGCAAAGGCCCTCTGTAGGATCCAAATTTCTCAGTAGTATAACCGGTGCATTTTTCTTCAACCTCAGCCTATGCTCTGGAATACCGCTTGGTGTTAGCAAATTTATGAGGTCTCCATACTCTGCTTCATGGGCTGGGTTCTCTACCTTATCAAAGCTCAAATACTCCACCAAATCACCTGGGAACTCATTTATGAGTTTTGTGTTCACCTCATCTACAAAGGTATTTTTGGTTGTGAGAATTGCTCTATTCACTGAAAGTTCTGTTTCGGTTAGGTGCGCCAGATCTAGATATATTATTCTAATTAGCTCATCCAAAGAGTCCTCAGAAAGACATTCTGAAATAGTTATTGAAGGCGGTATCTTAATGAGGTCCTCATCATACGTACGTTCCTGTCCATTTTCTATTCTCAGAAGCATCTCCGTGAATAAAGGATCTAAACGCGCGCGCATGTTTTCCACCAGTTTCAGTTTCGTAAGCAAGGGCCATATGTATGAGCTACTCAGACAAGCACCTATTGTTTCATCTTTGGTTGCTCTACGCAATACAGGCAGAACCTGCCTAAAGTTACCACCAAAAACTATGACCTTACCACCAAAGAATTCATCAGAACAACAGAGGTCCTTCAGCGCAAGATTGAGCGCCTCAATGGCATCCCTTTTAGCCATTGGCGCCTCATCCCACACAATCAACTTGCTCTCACGTATGAGCGACCCTAGACAACTTTGTTTGCTAATACTGCAAAATTTGACATCCGACAAATCTATTGGAATTTTAAACCTAGAGTGTGTCGTCCTACCTCCAGGCAATATGGACGCAGCAATGTCGGATGTTGCAGTGGCCAGGGCTATACAACCCCTAGACCGCACAGTCGCTAGCAAGGCTCTATAAAGAAAAGATTTCCCGGTACCACCCCGCCCATCCACAAAGAAAGCACCTTTTTTCTTTTCTTCAATGCAATTCATTATTACGTCAAAGGCTTTTTTCTGTTCTTTATTAAGCAAGCCAACAACATTTAGGTCCTCTTGAGAAACAATTATACTCCTCTCAGCATCTACCTCACGTGTATTTTTTTGACTTACAAATTCTGAACTAATAGGGAAAAGATCAAAAGACCTAATATTTCTACCCATGGACTCCAAAAAACCACTAAGTTGTACAAGTGCCTTCTGCCTTGTTCTAGGAATCGTACAGCCAGAGTGCCTCAAAAAATCCTCACACAAATGCTCCTCAATTTTTTCCCACAAAAGCTTTGACTATTGGGACATGCATAAACCAACAAATCACAAAACAACTTGCGCATCTCGTAAGGCATTTGGTAGCGCGAAGCCTCCTCCAAGCACATATCCTGACTGTTGTCCTCCTCCAAGAGTCCATGTTCCAATGCTCTCTCACGGAAGCTACTAGCATACCTGCCATTAAAACATTTAAGATCATCAAACGATTTGGGACAGCGGACGTTAGACAAAAGTAACCTCAAATAAAAATGCTCCCCCTCGCTGACATGTACAGAAACCAAACGGCCAACTGTGTCACGCTGGATCCTTTTTTTTTCACCGCTTCTCTGTCGACATCCACACAAAATACCTGCCTGATAGGGTCCTCCGGCAATTTGGGTGTCGCCAATCCATCCCCCAAGATCCGATCATTCGGGATGAGCGAGAGTGGGACGCACGCCACATAGGTCAGGGGATGACTGGGAGGGCATTTTATGATTGGGCCACATTCCATGTACCGTTTCTGAGCTCGTGGACTGATGATAGTGATGATCGTCTCCTCCCAGTTGCCCCTGTGTACGACTATCTGTAGCCGGAGCAGGGTTATCTCGAATGGTTTCACAGCAGGACTCGGAGATTAATCAATAACCTTGCTAATTGTTCGGCATTCTAACAGGCAGGCGGGTATCAGCCACTTGCCGAGCGGTTAGGCTGTCAGGTAAGTGTTCATTATTTGTGTTTATTATTAATATTATTAATATTATTATTAT